AATCTTTTTAAAAAAATGAATCAGAGACTTCAATGTAAGAGCTAAAACTATAACAATCTTTTTTTTAAGATTTTATTTATTTATTTGAGAGAGAGAATGAGATAGAGAGAGCATGAGAGGGGGGAGGGTCTGAGGGAGAAGCAGACTCACGGCTCAGCAGGGAGCCCGATGAGGGACTCGATCCGGGGACTCCAGGATCATGACCTGAGCCGAAGCCAGTTGCTTAACCAACTGAGCCACCCAGGCACCCAAAACTATAACAATCTTAAAAGAAAATGTAGGAGTAAATCTTTGTGACTCTGGATTAAGCAGTGGTTTTGTAGATAAAATACCAAAAGCAAGAAAGGAAAAATAGCTAAGTTGTATCACATCAAAATTTTAAACTTTTGTTCTGCAAGTGATACTATGAAGAAAGCAAAAAGTCAACCAAGAGAATTAGAGAAAATATTAACAAATCATGCATCTGATATGGGAGTTGCATCCAGAATATATGCAACCCAATTATAAAAAAGACAAATAGCTTAAATAAAAAATGAGCAAAGTATCTGAATAGATATTTCTCCAAAGAAGCTACACAAATAGTAGATATTCATATGAAGATGAAAATGTAAGTCAAAACCACAGTGAGATACCACTTCATACCAACTAAGATGGTTATAATCAAGAAGACAGCCATTAACAAGTGATGATGAAGATGTGGAGAAAACGTAATGCTAAGTGAAAAAAGCCATCAAAAAAGACCACATATTTGGGGCGCCTGGGTGGCTCAGTTGGTTAAGCGACTGCCTTCAGCTCAGGTCATGATCCTGGAGTCCCAGGATCGAGCCCCACATTGGGCTCCCTGCTCATCAGGGAGTCTGCTTCTCCCTCTGACCCTCCCCCGTCTCGTGTTCTCTCTCTCATTCTCTCTCTAATAAAAAAAAGACCACATATTCTATGATCCCCTTTTTTTCTTTTAAGATTTTATTTATTTACTTGAGAGAGAGAGAGAGTGAATGAGAGAGAGAATAGGAGCAGGGGCAGAGGGAGAGGGAGAAGCAGACTCCCCTCCTGAGTCTGAGATCATGACCTGAGCTGAAGGCAGATGCTTAACTGCTTAATGGACTGAACCACCCAGGCACCCCTCTATGATTCCATTTATATGAATATATAGAATAGGCAAGTCTGTAGGAACACTATAGATTAGTGATTGCCTTGGGCTGCAAGGAGCATGGGAAGAGACAAACTGAAGGGTAGCTGCTAATGGGTACACAATTTTTATTTAACAGGGGAGAAAAATAATGTAAAATTTGATTGTGTTGATGGTTGTACAACTCTATGTATATACTAAAGATATTTAACTGTACACTTTAAGTGGGTGAATTGTATGATTTATAAATTGTATTTTAATAAAGCTAACTTTAAGGAAATCAGCATGGGTACTTTTATAAATCTACATGCCCAGGCTGAAGCGCATGTCAGTGAGATCACTCCCTTGTGGTGGAATCCAAGTATCAGTATTTTATAAAGCTCTCCAGGTGACTGCATTGTGTAGCCAAGGTCAAGACTCATTGCTCCAGAAGCAGGTCTAAACTACATGAGTTTCTAAGTTAGGAAACTCCAAAAGAGTTCCGGTCCCTTGTTAGAGGACTCCAGGAGACTTCCTCCAATCTTGCTACTCAAAGTGTGGTCCTCAGAGCGGCAGCAACAGTACTACCTGGGAACCTGTTGGAAATGCAGATTCCAGGGGCACCTGGGTGGCTCAGTCAGTTAAGCGTCTGCCTTTGGCTCAGGTCATGATCCCAGAGTCCTGAGATTGAGTCCCACATCAGGATCCTTGCTCAGCTGAGATTCTGCTTCCCCCTCTCCCTCTGCCCCTCCCCCACTCTCTATCCCTGAAAATAAATAAATAAAAAACATTTTTAAAATCTTAAATTTTTCTTGATTACAATAACAATATATGCTAGTTGTAGAGATCAAAAGTCCTCAATAACCTCACCCCACCCATCTGTCCACTCCAGTTAAGTTTGGTGTATATTTTTCCATATTTCCATAATTACTTCACATGTTGGTATGCATCTTTTAAAAAATCCACCCAGAGATTTTCTAAAATCCATCATTTTCCAAAAGGCTAGCCCCAGGGAATTGGTACATGGGCTTATCTGGGGTTTTAACAACTTTTTGTATTTTGAGGTGAAGTAACTCAAGATTTATGGTATTTTATTCAGTTCCCTAAATGTACATTTGGTTTCCTTGATTCATTTAATAATTTGGAGTGACCACCCAGGTGTCCTAATGCCCCTAATGGAGTGACTAAGGATGTTTGGTCATTGTTTTAATTACTAATCACATACTGTGTCTTCTTGACTCATATCAGTAACCACATCCTTATCAAAATATTCTGATTACTACATTTTAAAAAGTAGTGTCACAACACACTTAAGAACTGGCTGTTTTTTGTTTTGTTTTTGTTGTTGTTCCTGTTTACATCATGGTGATTCTACCTCTGAAGATTTTTCCTAGCAAGTGATCCGTCACCAGGATTGCTCACAGACTCCAGTATTCAAAATGTCATCTCTTAAGTTTCCTTATTTTGAAATATCCATAGCTCTTCTGAGTAATGCAAAAAATATGAATGAATGAATAACATAACAGAGAAACTCTTTCTAAAAGTTATTAGAAAAAATCCTTTATTTAACTGTGCCTAATGCTTTGGGGTATCTCAGTGAACTATGCCTTTAAAGACAAATGGTTATATACTAATATCTTGGCCCTGAAATTTTGGGGTCTTCTTTTGAATTGAATGAAAATTCATTCAACAAAACAAAATTGTTTTGTTTTTCTGTAGTCCAGAAAAATTCTATCTTTATTTTCAAGTTACCTTAAAACTTTAACATGCAAATTTTACTTAGCTAAATCTGAATTTCATCAGTAGTATTAACTTCTGAACAATATGAAGACTTTATAAAATGCATTCATTCTGATTTCCCCTCCTGACTTAACTTGCTATTATTATCATCCAGATTTTAACTCCATTTGCATTAAACCCACAAATTAGGCATCATCATCATCATCCTGTTTAGATTTTCTCACATTCACCATTTTGTTTGCTAATCATCCCTTCTTGTATTCAGAGCTTCTGGAATCAAACCCTAGTTCCTGTCATTTTGGACTGGTTGGCAGTCTCCAGGACAATCAGATAGTTAGTTGCCTCAAGAGGAAAATGAGAAGAGTCCTGGGAAATATGCCCCCTCTCCCCCACAATGCTACCTCCTGCACCCCCAGAACTAGGGGCATCCCTGTGTATTTCCTCCTACCCTCTAATTAGCGTGTTTTATGGTGTAGAGAAGAACAAGGAAATCTGATAGAATACTAAAGTTAAATACATTCAATTTGAAGAGCTGTCATGTTTTTCTGAGATCATATTCTTCCTACCCTTTTTGCTATTAAAATTATCTTCATTTTAGGGGCGCCTGGGTGGCTAAGTCGATTAAGCATCTGACTCTTAATTTCGGCTCAGTTCATGATCTCAGGATTGTGAGATGGAGCCCTGAGTCTGCCTCTGCTGGGCATGGAGCCTGCTTAAGATTCTCTTTCTCCCTTTGTGCCCTGCCCCCCATCTTAAAAAAAATCTTTATTTTATAATATAATGGTGATGGTAGTTGAAGTTTGGGTTTTTTTTAATTAATTAAATTTTGTTTTAAAATTTTTTTACTTGGCAAATACAACATTGCCAATCACAACCCAGATTTTCTGAAATTTTATGGATCTTGAAATCCCAAGCCACTGCTGTAGACAGCTACCTGTGATTTTGAGTGTGGATATTGGGTCACCTGAAAATATGTCCTCTTGGTTACATCAGGGACCTTAGTGGTTTTTCAGGTGTATACAAATCCTACAGTGTTTTTTTTTTTTAATCTTTTATTTATTTATTTGAGAGAGAGAATGAGAGAGAGAGAGAGAGCACATGAGAGAGGGGAAGGTCAGAGGGAGAAGCAGACTCCCTGCCAAGCAGGGAACCCGATGCGGGACTCCATCCCGGGACTCCAGGATCATGACCTGAGCCAAAGGCAGTCGCTTAACCAACTGAGCCACCTAGGCGCCCCAAATCCTACAGTGTTAACAGTACTTTGCAACCTTTTATTGGGTTATCGAGCAGTCCTTAGTACTCTCCCAACAATTGAAATAATTTTTTACATAAGGCTGAATCTATACTAGCAAAATGTCTTGGGTACATCATGCACACCCCATATATATCTGGTGATGTTAATGTTCTCATTTTTTTTTTGAAGATTTTATTTATTTGAGAGAGGGAGAGAGTGAGCAGGAGGGAGAGGGAGTGAGAAACTGAAGGAAACTCCACGCTGAGCGCAGAGCCCAATGTGGGGCTTGATTCCATGACCTCAAGATCATGATCTGAGCCAAAACCAAGAGTCGGACGCTTCAACTGAGACACCCAGATGCCCTAATGCTCCCAGTTTTTTAAGAACATCATTCTGAGAGTCACATGATCTAAAATTTGGCCAATACCTTTGTCTGCCTTACTCATAATGTAAGGGGTTGGACTGTGATCCCCAAGTTTTTTTTCACCACTAATGTAGGTTGTGATTGTAGTTTTGCTGCCACTACCTTCATAGATGTTCTTTCCTCATCTCCCTGTAAATGGTCAGTATGAAGCCTACACAGAATGACTTGAGTTCTCATTTCCCCTTTGTAAAGAATGGTCATGTACAAATGCAGCCACAGTGTTTATTGCAAAGGGTTACACTTAAGAGTATTGTTTAATTGTCATATGCTTGACACTGACAGTCTTATTAGATGTTCAGTCATTACTATAATGTAGACAAATAATTATGGATTAAAGATGCACCAACTACAGATTTTAGAGATCTCTGAATTCATGACAAAGTTGTTAATTGGCAAGCTTGTTATTTCCTGTAAGTACAAGGAAAGGAAGTATTAAAAGTCATCATATTAATTTGAGAGAGGAAATTAACGTTTCCTAAACAATTCTCTTCTAGTGAAGGAAGCCTGTCCCCCAGAACAGAGCTGCTGCATAATATCGACCCAAACTTTGTGGATATTTCACCATGTGAGTACTTCATTTATTGCTACTAAACTCAATCTTTTTAGCTCGCAAAGACATTTTTATTGCCTAGTGTGTCTCCAGCCTCACTTTCTCCTTTTCCACTTGAGTTTGCTGTCCGGATAAACAGTTCTCCATAACACCTGTTGTACTGACCTCCCTGTGGCTTTGGTTCCGTGGAGGGTAAATGCTGTTCGTGGCCCTGCCACTTACTGGCTATATGACCTTCAAGCCATTTCGTCTCCCTGCCTCAGCTTTGCCATAGGATCTCAGAGGCTCCTGCTCACTGGGAACGTCATGTTGTTGTTGCTCTCTTCTCACCTGAGAGCTCCAGAGCCTTAGCTCTTAGGCCCTTTGTCCAGCCTCCATCATCAAGCCTCTTCTTGAGACTCCACAAAACAGTGCTCTTCCATTCCGTTCATTCTCTTGGGTGCTGACACCCCCTCCTTTCTAGACATACTGCCACCCCTTTCATTCATTCATTCTATTGTTCAGGCTTTCCTGACTTCCTTATCCTCTCCAGTCTGTGCCACAACCTGCCCCAGGATTTCCCTGCTCAGACAACAACCCCGCAGTGGTTGTGTGTCCACAGGCACTTAAGGCCCCACTCGCCCCACCAGCCGCCTCCAGCCAGTCCTTGCCCTGCTTGACACTTGCCTTTTCCAAGCATGATCGTCATGTTTTGTCTTGAATATGCTTTTCTCTGTGGCTGAAACACTTTTCCCTGCCCTTCCACAATTTTTCCTCATCCCTTAAAACTCAACACAAATGTCTCATGTATATGAATGCTTCTTGGAACCCCAGAAAGTCCTTCCTCAGCATCCTTTTGTATGTATCTGTGTATAAAGCCTTCAGCAAATTCTCTTGTATGTGCCTTCATATCCCACCAAGGTGAGAGCTCCTGGAAGTCAGGATCTATGTCTTATTTATCTTTCCATCCTCATAAGTTAACATGAATACCCAGCACTGGGCAGGCCCTCAGTGATGATTACTTGATGACTAATGCAAGGGTGCTGGGATAGAATTAGGACCAAAGTGGAAAGGAAAGGGCCTGAGGCAGGTCGAGATGGCTACAGTATGGAGAAATTGCTATTTCTATTGGAGTAACTTAAGTCAGTGAGAGAGGCAAGGGTGGTTATAGGTCTATATGGTAGCCGCTGGCCATATGTGGCTTTTAAACCCTTGAAATGTAGCTAACTGTGAATTGAGATGTGCTGCAAGTATAAAACACACATCGGATTTTGAAGACTTAGTGTGAAAAACGTGAAATATATCATAACATATATTTACTCATTGAAATGGTAATATTTTAGATATGTTGAATTAAATTTATTATTAATTTCACCTGTTTCCTTTTCCTTTTCTCTGTGGTTAATAGAGAATTTAAAATTACATGTGAATTTGCATTGTACTTCTATTAGTCTAGAAGGATTGTTCTAGCAGGTGCTAGGAAGTAATTGGATCAGCTGTGTAGGAAGAGCACAGACCCGTGACTACTTACTGTGGCCATGACATCCATGGTTTCTAACCTTTTCTATGCCCCAGCACACCAAAGGGGTGTGACACATTCTAGTCTAGAGCAGTGATTCTTAACCAGTGATATCAGAATCTCTGGGGGTGGCCAGAAGGGAAGAGGGGAGGCAGGAAGGGTTTTTAAAACTTCTAGGTAGTTTAATGCACTGCAAAACCCAGTATGACATCCAAGGATGCGCTGAAGATGCTGCACACATTGTAATGGTTGTCAGCTGTCCTTACTAAGTTCCATCTACAAATGAAAAGGTGCCCCCACTCACCAAGCTGAATTGTTCTTAGCATCAGAAATGGGGAAGGGGCGCCTGAGTGGCTCAGTTCGTTAGGTGTCTGAATCTTGGTTTGGGCTCAGGTCATGGTCTCAGGCACATGAGTTGAGCCCCACGCTGGGCATGGAGTCTGCTTAAGATTCTCTCTCTCCTTCTGCCCCTCCACCCCCCACTTGTGTGTGTGTGCTCTTTCTCTGGAAGGAAGGAAGGAAAGGAGGGAGGGAGGGAAGGAGGGAGGTTTAAGTTCTGTATTTCCGTGTAACCCGGCCACAGTGCTGCTGGCTGCCTGCCTGCCGTGGTTTTTGCTACCTTTCCCACAGTGCCCCAGCTCAATCCCAGCACAGGCACGAGGTTTCCCCAGTATAAAAGTTAAGGAGGGCATGGCAATCAGAATAGAGAATCATTTTAATTTTGCCACCCATAGTTTATAAGGCCTTAAGCAAGTCCCTCCACTTTTCTTCGCCTCAGTTTCCCACATATTGAATGACAGACTTACGATGACCCTTTACTGCTCTCCCAAATTCAGGGACATTTTCTGGCCTTCTGCTGCCGCCACCCTCTCCTTGAAGCCCACTCCAGGCCTCCCTGTTGGCCTTCCCTGCCAACCAGGCACTCTTGCTCTGACTCCTGCTTGTAATGACGGATATTTTCCACTGTTGGCATCAACATAGAACCACATTCACTGTTGGTTCGCAGAAACAGGACATCCACTTCTGTCTCTGCCTGCAAGTAGCAAAGTGCCCCTCCTCCTCACACACATGCAACACCTCGGGCTTTTCTCCCTAGTTTTTATGTTCATTTCAATCCACTGTGCAGCAGAAGGTAAAAAAAAAAAAAAAAAAAAGGAGAGCTATATTTGGGGACCCACTCTTTCACCGGAAGATGATACCAGCTCATCTCCTTTTCTATGCAGTTAATTGGGGGGGGGTTAAATCTAGCTCTAAGAAAATATGTATTTATAGGACAACAACCAAGTCTGTGAAGATTGAATTAAATGATGTCTCAGGTCCCTCCCAGCTTCAATATTCTGTGGGTCTCTGTATAAATAGGATCTCAAAGGAGCAAAGCTGCTGACTCAGTTTCTCTCCTTTTCCACCCTGCGCACATTACTAAGCAGTGATGTAGCCAAAAGCGTGGTTGTACGTAGATAAATACAAGTGAAAATGTTAGAAACATTATAAGTGCTAGAGTAATTTGAATTGTAGGATTTTATTATTACTACATCCTGCCCACTTTTCTGATCCCTGTTCTTTTTTTTTCAAGATTTTATTTATTTACTTATTTGAGAAAGAGAATGAGAGAGAGAGAGAGCATGAGGGGGGGAGGGTCCGAGGGAGAAGCAGACTCCCTGCTGAGCAGGAAGCCTGATGTGGGACTTGATCCCGGGACTCCAGGATCATGACCTGAGCCGAAGGCAGTCGCTTAACCAACTGAGCCACCCAGGCGCCCTCTGATCCCTGTTCTAAAACATCACTGCATCAATCCACTTTAACGTCTGCCCTCTCCCCTTTAGTGGGTCTTGTTGGGGGTTGTGGACCAGTGTCTCCTCCGATCATGAATAAGAGGAACAGGCGTTAGACGTTTCCCAGGGGAGCCCTGCCTTCTAAGTAGTACCACATCCCCTCAGAAGCTGGGCTTTTGGGGTTTATTCTTTACTCTTATTCTTAGAGTACAGGGCGCCCCCAGAGGCCCTTCCTACTGGTAGAGTTGGGGCTTTTTTCATGGCTGCATACTCTTGGTACATTGTGGGTTGGGTGTGAATAATAAAGATATTCCCAGAAGACTGGGACAGACACGGGCACACACCCGAGGTCATAGGGTTTCCCAGAGACCCAGGAGATTATGCAGTAAAGGATGAACGGTCTCAACCACAGATCACACCCATTGGAACGGCTGCTATGAAAAGAAAAGAAAGAAAGAAAAAAGGAAGGAAAAGAACAAGTGTTGGTGAGGACATAGAGAAATGGGAACACGTAGGCACGTTGGTGGGAATGTAAAATGGGAATGCGCTGTTGGTGGGACAAAGGGATAAGTAAAATATGGTATATGCATACAGTGGGCTACCGTTCAGCCTTAGAAAGGAAGGAGATTCTGGCGCGTGCTACACCATGGATGAACCTTGAGAACGTTTGTGGATTAAGCCAGTCACAAAAAGACAAATACTGCATGATTCCACTTAAACGTGGTACCTCGTATAGTCAAAATTATGGAGACAGAAAGTAGAATGGGGGCTGCCAGAGGCTGGAGGGGGCGAGATGGGGAATTCATGTTTAATGGGTGTAGTTTCAGTTTTACAAGATGAAAAGAGTTCTGTGGGGGGATGTGGTGAAGGTTGCACAACCATGTGAATGTACTTAGTGCCACTGAACTGTACATTTAAAAACAGCTAAAATGGGGCGCCTGGGTGGCTCAGTCGGTTAAGCGTCTGCCTTCGGCTCAGGTCATGATCTCGGGGTTCTGGGATCAAGCCCCGCATCGGGCTCCCTGCTCAGCGGGAAGCCTGCTTCTCCCTCTCCCACTCCCCCTGCTTGTGTTCCTGCTCTCACTGTCTCTCTCTGTCAAATAAATAAATAAAAATCTTAAAAATAAATAAATAAATAAAAACAGCTAAAATGGTAAATTTTACTTTTTTTTTTTTTTTACCACAATTCAAGATAAATAAATGTAAAATGTAAAACCAGAGAAAAGCATAGAAATTCATGAGGCCGGGGTCTATATCTTTTTCATTTACTGCCGTATCCCCAGTGCATAGCACAGAGCCTGCCGTCCTAGCCATTTCTCGGCAAATACTTGTTAATGACTCATAATAGATCATCGGGTTAAAGTCATTGTCTTACTGTCTCTTAGCCTTTCCTGAACCTAAAGTACCTCCCGAAGGCAATTCACACCCACCTTTTAATCCCTGAACTCGCACCTTACATTTTGTTCCTACATAAAAATAATTAAAATTAGGAAGTGGCTGGTGACCATTAATATTATCATATACAGATATTAGAAACTACTTACCCAGTTTATAAATGCCCACCCTCAGTCTTGCCTGCATTGAAAATATCAGCCAGAAGAGAGGATGTGGGATTTCTCTAGATCTCCATGAGAGACAAACATATATGCTTATAAAGCCCCTGACTGTGTGCTCGGCTCAGCCTGACTTCCCCTCAGAGTCCAGGGCCCTGCTCCTTCTTGCTCTTCTCGCTCTTTGTGCTCCCC